CATGTTTCCTGAAAAACTTGTGCAAATCCACCCATTCATTCATCATCCTCTTCCACTTTTCCGGATACATGCATATTTTGAGGTGGATGTGGGGTGCTAAGGGACAGGGAAGAAAAAATAAAAAAGTAATATCTAACTATAATTTCATTAAGTTTTCTTTCAGTAGGCATGGAAAACACCAAATTCCACATAAAATGCTGGCAAGTTCATGCTTTTATCTCTAACACATCTTAAGTTATGTAACAAAACATCTCAACACTCTCTTTTACAATGATGGGTCAATGGAGACTGATGTAGGTAAATGTGATATCATCATAAAAAGGCTAAAACAAAGAGGGCAACATAATGACAAGTGACTAGCTTCAACATGGGTTTTTATTGATGACAGAAGATTACTTTTTGGTTATGTTTACCCTATAATTAGCACATTTTCCACAAGCGTAAACTGCATTACACGTAATTGGCTAAAAAGGTCATTAGTGGTGAATGAACCTGACTTGTTTTGTGACAGAATATGCAAAACATTTCAATAAGTAAATTGTGTGCCCTTCCACACCCCAATTGTGGGCATTTGATGACCATTTCTTGGAATGATATAGGTGTCCCTTAACACCCCACATTGGGGTGCTAAGGGACAGTGATGAAAAATAATAAAAGATAATATGCAGGTATAAATCTTAAAAACTTTAATATGGCAGGCATGTAAAGCACCAAATTCCACATAAAATGCTGACAATTTGATGCTTCTATCTCCAACCCTTCTTGAGTTATATAACAAAACACCTCAAAACTGTCCCTTAACACCCCGTTTTACGGTACCATTGCCAACATGTGTGTGTGTGTGTGTGTGTGCGTGTGTGTGTGCGTGTGCGTGTGTGTGTGCGTGTGTGTCAACAATGTGTTAACAACAAATACAACACAATTGTGCCTGGCGTATGTTAACACTAAACACTATTAGCCATATTTTATTGATACTAATAGAACCTTCCAGGTGGCTGGAACAACCCCAGTGCCGCACAGTTCTGCGGGATATTCCTGCACCTGCTCCACCGCTGCGGCGTCCGGCCCGGCAGCACAGGGAAAGTGGCAGCCCTCGACCCGACCAGCATCCTGGCAGTCGGTCACACGACCAGCGGACGGGGAGCCAGCCTTACTACCTCGGCCTCCACCACCTCAGACAACGGTGCCACAGCACTCCACATCATCACGGAGCACGACTTCCAGCCTGGGCTGTCGTCTGGTGGGCAACATCGTCACCTACATCGCAGGGTTCGTGGTGAAGAAGGCGCTCGACTCTGTCAGCTGTAGCACCTGTCAGGAGGCCCTGGTGAGCGACATCCAGCCGGACGACATGACACAGCTTTACCACCTCTTCATCATCTCTGCCAGATGAGCTAAGGTGGGGACGGGTTACATGCCTGGGATCTGACTGAGACCCGCTCATACCCTGCCGAAGTGTTGGTGATTTCAGCGGTCAGCTGTCTCTAGCCGGTGTCAGTGAGTGGCGGCCAGCTGCCGCTGGAGTGGGTATCTACCGTCGATAGCTGCTGTGTGGCGGATAGCGTGGATTTGGATGGACACTTCATATTAATGAACAGATCAATGTCTGGCCGATAAAAGACGTATTTTGTCGATGATTGCTTAGTGACTGAGTGGGTCCACTGGCGACCAATGCAGTGGGCGCTGGGTTAACGCCTCGCCTCTTGTGACCGTGTCGATATGTAGCACTGTTAATTGCCGATTCGTTGCCGGCCGTCTCTGCTCCGTGGCTGGCTGATCCGGCACAAACTGGTGTTCGTGGCTGAAGGCGCGGCTACAGTTACACTAGCTCGCCACGTGCCTGTGCGACTATCGTCGGTGCTGTCTGCAAGGGCGATGTCGGTGCCTGTAGGGGGCGCGGATTGATTCAAAGTGAGGAATGGGTCATCGGAGCTCGGGTCAGGTCATGTTCGGCTAAAATAAGCGGATTTTGCGATTTGCCGCATCCGGGTGAATTTCCTTGCCTTCTAGTGCATGTTTATGCATTTTACATGCGTTTTTTTAGTGTTGATGTCTAGATAACGTGCATTTGCCTCGAGGTCAAGACTGTGCTTCATATGGGCAGTTTTCGGAGCATCTTGCTCATTTTATTCGTAATCCTTAATTATGTTTGCGGATTTGTGCCCGCAAATCATTTTTTAAAGTAAGATTGACACGGGATTCGAGATCGGCGCCCATAAATACACTTCACATGACCCGCCATGTGTCAAGGCCATCCGAGGTCATCTAAGGTCGCTGACCTTGTATGACCTTATGTGACCCGGTTCGCTAGATTTCGAGATGAGGTTGATTGGGAATGATGTAACCCATTTCGCCGACAGTGCACGCGTTTTGGTCGATTTTATAGCGAAAGATCTCAAACTCCAGTGACTTTACTGGTTCGATTTCCAGTGTTTGACCTGACCTCTGAGTTCACCCGTTGACCTAGTACCCTGAAATTTGGTATCACTGGTTTACTCACATCGCGGACAGCATACCTATTTTTTTCCGTTCTTGCTCCGTCGGGGGGAGGGGGGGGCGAACGGCTGGAGTTCACTCCGTTCACCCTGGCTTCCCCTACTCGTAAGACGCTGACAAACTACGAACGGGTGAGGGCTAAAATTGCACTTATTGTCGATCATTGTCCATTGCATACTGCATACATAGATATAAAGTATGGTAGCCATAATGGGAAACGAATTTTATCTTAAATTAGCATGCCAATTGCATCTACCTTCGGTGCCGCATATCCTTTATCAGCGTCTTCAGGGCTATATGTCTAGGGCTGATGTAATTACATTACTATAAATACACATGTTTCTGCCCTTGTTTCACAATCTACTCATTCCAAAGAATGCCATAGGTAAAAAAGATTAACACTTTTCGGTCGAAAAATACCACAAAATCTGTCCCAAACACCCCCCTCCTCCCATAGTGTTTACACAGCGCCGCAGATTCTCGCCCTCACCAACATGGCGGCCGCTGCTACGTATTCGCGAGTCGCTCCCGACATGGGGGTGCCCTACATGTCGGTCTACATGTATCTAGTCTTTATATCTATGGGCCGCGCGCTCTGACTTCGGCCAAGAAAAATGCATCAGCTGATCATTGTCATTTCTGCCACTTGCGTGTGGTGAAATGGGGTCATAACTTATAAGACGGCTTTTTCATATCAATTATTTTACATAAAATCATATTTCAAACCATAAATAATGTTCGACAGCCAAATAAAAGAAACAATACCAATACGGGCTTACAGTTTAAGGCTCGACATTGTGTTGTCTACGATTAGACAGCTGATAACTCATTCCCGTACGTCGTATGGTCGTAACACTATAATGACCTTTGCTTATTGTCACAAGTGCGCCGCATTCGCGATTGTTGCCCGACGCCTGTTTGCAGGTGAGCCCACTACAGTTGTTATACATATCTAAAAACCGATAAACTTTTAGGCGAAAAAGGCACTATTCCAGGCCCATTTTTGATTTTTTTTTTGCGATATTAGGTAAAAACAGAAGCTTCTTATCCTAGGAAAAATAAAATGGGAAATCTTTCAAAGGTGGCACACTACCTTTAACCCTATTCCTGGCGGGCTCCGCCGGGACAAGAAACTGGCGGGGGGGGGGGGGCCGATTCGGCCCCCCCCTGAGATCTCGAGAACGAAGCAAGATAGCGACAAGCGGTAAACGGCATCGGATACGCACGGCCAAGATCTACAATTTTTACTAAGGTCATTTTCAGGTCAGGTCAAAGATGACGTCACAGGGGTCGAAAAAGTCAAAATGGCGGCGCTAGATATGGAGAGAGTTTTTCTCGAATAACTTTCGAATTAGTCGAGATAGGAACAAACTAAGGGCATCATCGTGATCCTCTCGTCAATCCGCATCGAATGATATATATGTTGACCTCGAAAGGTCAAGGTCAAAGGTTGACCTCAGGTCACGTGACCTCGAGGTCATCATGTATATCATTCGATGCGTCTTGACGAGCTGAACACAATGAGACCATCCACGCATCTGTATCTTGTTCCTGTACGGAGTTATTGGCCAAAAACCTTTGGTGACCTTTGATGACGTCACATGACCTCACAGCTGCCCAACAGCAAAACAGACCTCAAGGTAGTGAAGGTTGATCGTATATGAAGTCATGTATGGTATATGGGGCCATTCCGACCCGTTTTAGTGGTAAAAACAGGGAGTTGATTTTTCCCCCATTGACTTATAATGGGGAGGTCGCGAAATTGACCTGACCTTAGGTCACCGATATCAAAATTCCGAGATATACAAATTGCACATACTGGTACCCTAACTAAACCCTGAAGAGAAGAAATTGATCGGTCAAAAACTCTAGCTCTGGCGTGATTGCAAACTTTTCTGAGGTAGGGTCACCAAACCGCCTCTGGTGACCTGACCTGAGGTCAGATCAACTCAAAATTTTCAGACATGTTGCGTAGAAGCCTTTTAGGAAAAGTCAGAAAATTTGAGCTTCCTAGCTCAACGCGTTTGGGAGAAATAACCAAAAAACCTCAGGGGGGGCTCCTGAGGCCCCCCCCCCCCCGCCAGGAATAGGGTTAATAAGCATTTTTGCAAGTCCCTCGGAAATCAGCCCCGGGCAGCGACTGACTGCCGGCCGGCCGACCGGCCCCGGGTGGCTAGAAGCAGGGGCCGGTCACTGTTCGGCCCGGATGTGTGGGAGCCGGAGCAGGCAGCAGCACTCCTTTTTCACGTATATTCGCATATTCGACCTGACCTGTGACGTCATCAGTGACCTCGAGGTCAATGAAATTTGGTTTGCTACAACAAATTTGACAGAGCTATCGAACGCCGTTTGAATTTTCCGGATCCGTCCAGTAGTTTCGGAGATACGTGAGGAGATTTATTATCTTTATTATTTCATTGCCTATTTATATTTTAGTTCCATTCCATTATCTTAGATCGCTCTTAGATCGCATTAAATAAATTCCCCGGCACAAACCACAAATGTACGTCAATTGCTGGTATATTTCAAATGAACACCACATGCGACAAAGCAATAACAAATTTCACACTGATCCATTTACACAAAAGCATTCAGCACTAAAATACGAATAACACTGACAACAAAAACAAATTAATCCCGTTCGTTCGCTGTGTTGCGGTCGTGGCACAATAAATAATATCACAGCGCCGCGGATCGCGGCGGCAGACGAAGCCTCCGCTCACTTCTCAGAAGTGATCGGAGCCGGCCACCCCAGCCGCCCCGGCCCCTTAGAAGAAGCCCGGGTTTGTGTGCTCGATGATGCAGCGTTTGCAGTACTTTTTCACGGTGCGGTAGCCCTCCAGAGTGACCGGCGAGTCCTGGATGTTGAGCTGCTGCAGGCCGCGGCAGTAGTAGGCCACGTACTTGACGCCCGCGTCGCTGATCATCTCACAGCTCTTCACGCTCAGCTTCTTCAGGTTGGGGCAGTGCTGCGCCAACACCTTCAGGCCGTGGTCGGTGACGTCGCACTTGCCGATGTCGAGCGCGCGCAGCCGCTGGCAGCAGCGGGCCACCAGCTCGAGGGCGGCGTCCGAGACGGCCTCGCAGCCGCGCACGTTCAGGTAGCGCAGCTTGTAGCAGCTGCGTGCCACCTGAGCCACGCCGGCGTCCGAGACCCGGTTGCACTTGGCCACGCTGAGGTAGCGCAGTGTGGGCCCGAGCCGCGCCAGCTCACGGAGACTGAAGTCGGTGACGCGGCTGCAGTCGGAGATGGAGAATTCGCGCAGACCGGGACACAGACTGGGCACGTGCCGGATACCGGCGTCTGTGGGAGACAGGGCAGAGAGGAGGCCGTTAGACACGGGCACGGTAGAGCAGGACAGGGGCATTAACGAGCTTAGACAAGGTCTGGCCAGAACATCTGCTAACCCTCGCCCGCACATGGGGGGGGGGGTGGTTGCCACCCCCCCCCCCCAGGTAGTCTTTCTGCTCTGCACTCAACATTTTTAGAGCTAGAAGGCTGATTTTTCGTATAGCTGCTCCTCTATCCTTTCTTGATGTCCACTGAAAATTTCAAGTTTCTGTGACCTTTGGTTTCGGAGATATGACCTTATTTTTCAGGTCATGTCATGACCCAAATGGCCAATTCTCGACATCTTGCGTTGGCTATGGGCCTTGTGAGCTTTTGACACCTTGATTTCGGCCTTTTTTACCAGTCTTACCTCCCACCCATCATGGAACATGTTGTTCGACGATGTACAGATGTCAAGGTCAAGGTCAAGGTCAACCTAGGTCATCTAAGATAATTGCGTTTTAGGCAAGCGGAATTTACTATTTGTGAAGTTTTTTGACTGCATTTTTGGTAAAAGCTTCTCAGATCATGATTTCATGTAATATGGACACATAAACAATCGGTGCACACATCAGTATACACACAGACACACACAGACATACAAACACATATAATTGACCTTGACCTAACTTGACCTGAAATGACCTCAGCAGCAAAAACCTGGTCGGGTAGTGTGAGAAAGAGGTTCTAGCTGGCTTGGCACCAGAAAACAGCATCGTTATCGGTATATGATAAGCAGCGCACTTGATATCCAACGGTGACCCAAAACAGCAACATTTTTTAGTTTGACCTGACCTGGAAGGTCAATGACTGACCTGAGAAGGTAAAACTGGGTATCATTGGATTCGTCTCTTCCCAAAGAATCTTTTTGGTCTTTACCGCTAAGCTCTATCTCCAACAGGAACGAAATGGCGCGGGGGGGGTGGCAACCACCCCCCCCCCCCATGTGCGTTCTAGGATGGGAAAATGGCATGTGCGGGCGAGGGCTAAGTAATGCCATATCGTAAGAAAATATTATCGTACGTTTTCCTGGGCAAAACTATCCACATGATTGCAAAATGTATCACACATAACTGCTTAGTGGCAACCCAGTGACAGATTGTGCAAAGTCTTTTCCTCAAAATATTTTCGGATTCGTTCATCCGATCTCAACAGCGATGTTTTCCGTTCTCCATCCAGTGAGCGCTAGTGACAGTCCCGGGGCCGATGCTCACCAGTGAGCTGCTCGCAGCGGCGCATGTAGAGGTGCTGCAGCTGCGGGCAGTGGCGCGCTATCACCCGCAGACTGTCGTCGGTCAGGTTATGACAGTCCGTCAGGTCCAGGTACTGCAGGTTCAGACGGTGGTCGGCGCCCGCCTGGCTCAGGTCCAGGCAGCGCACACGGTGGCACCCTGAAATAGCCGGACAAAACCGGAACGGTCAACAGTCGGTTACGGGGAGGTGGTGTGATCGTGCACTAACCGAGCCGCGAGGGGAAGGACCGGGCTCAATTTGAAACGGTACCACACTCCGTTAGCGGAAACCGGAGCAGTGAGCACGAACAGAAAACGGGAAACAACGGAACACGTTCATGATAATCCCATTTCACCTCCGAGATACGCTCACACGATAGCGTCCGCCGCCGACCCGGCGCTGTTTTTCACCTCCCTAAGTAACGGCAATCGCCTACCGTTACTCACGACAATTAACACGAGTCTCCAGCCCGGCCCTTTCTCTATTAGTGACCCTTCCCGAGGCCGGCGTAATGACCCTATCCTACCCGGCCGTCCCTGGTCCCATTCCCGACTGTCCCGCCGCATTCCTGACCACCCGCCGCCTACCGCGGGTGTCGCGTTGCGTCGCGTCGCGTCTGCTCACTCACCGGTCAGGTCGAGGTGCTGCAGGTTCGGGCAGTGGCTGACGATGTCCATGACGGCCTGATCGCCGACCTGGCTGCAGCCGCGCAGCTCCAGGTGGCGCAGCTCGGGACAGCGGCGCGCCAGCAGCGACAGGCCGCGGTCTGTCAGTCGCGCGCACCCGTTCAGCTCCACGCGCTCCACAGTGTGACACAGCGTGCCCGGGTTGTCGCGGCAGAGCAGCTTGACGATCTGCCGGAGCGCCCGGTCGGCGCCGGTCGTCTCGCCCGTCAGCGTGATGCTGGTCCACAGCTGCGGCTCCCAGACGAGGAAGTACCAGCGCCGGCAGACGCGCGCGCAGTAGCACAGTTCGTTGGTGGACAGGTACGAGAAGATGTGCAGGATCAGCTCGTCCGAGACACGGTCGAACGGCGCCGACTTGTGCGCCCGCTTGCCCTTGAAGGCCATGATGAGCTCGGCACTGGAGGGCGGCTCGGGCAGCTGGGGGCGCGGCGAGTCGCGGGGACACCGAGCGGAGTTGGCCGGCGCGCCGCCCGGGTAGCCGAGCTCGGCCCACGGAGAGGCGGCTGCTGACCGCGCTACCAGCGTGTGGTAGCCCAGGTCGTGATAGGCCGGGGAGGAGCGGCCCTGAGAGACCGCCAACAGCTGCCAAGAGAGAGAGGGAGGGAGTGGTCAGACGGAGATCGGATGAGTCACGCTTGGAGAGTCGCTCTAGAGTCAGATGAGTCATTCTGAGAAAGAGACGTTTTGTGACTTCACGGAAGGTATGACAGCAGAATAGCGGAAATGCTCGCTGCGTTTGTTTTGCCTGGTCGAGTAAGACCTGTCACGTTGACAGGGTTGGTGCTACTGCAAACTGAACGGCTGAAATGCCTCTAGTTAGTTGACGGTTCTTCTACTAAAGCCCGTTTTCAATACTGCAGCACACATTAGTGACTCGTGACAGGGTATCCCGCCCTTCCCTGGACACTCCCCAGCCCCCTCACCTTATGGTTGTAGACGGAGGGGGACATCCGGCCGGCCCAGCCCCCGCTCAGCACCTCCTTGTGGTTGTACACGGAGGGGGACATCCTGCCCCCGGGGCCACCGGTGCTCGTGTCCGCGCGCGCCCGCACAAGGCCCGGGTGTCCGGGCAGCGACGGTAACGACGAGGCCACGGCCGCCATGTCGAACGGCGGCGGCGGCGCCGGCACCGACAGCGGGTCCATGGGCAGCGCGCCGGGCAGCTCGCCGCCTAGCGCTCCGCTCGTGTCTGAAAACACACAGAGAGACAGAGCTGTCAGCACAGCGGTAGGGAGGCGGATCTAAATGTGGCTCGTTGAACAGTGGACAGTTGAGCAGTCATCTAAAACTCGTCGAAACGTAAGATCAGAGCTGTGCAATCGTCACCGGCTCACAGGTGGTTGCGATAACAGATAGCATGTTTCAGTTCGATTGAGTTCAGTTTAGCTCAGAGTCAGACACACACGAGAGCCTCAAGACTCCCGATCCGTAAAGCGACACCTCGCAATGTGTCTACATCCGGCCGCTCCGGCTCGTCACCGGGCGACCAGTCCCACGGTCAGCTCCGGGCCCCACCGGACCGCATTCCCATTCCGTCACGACGTGGAATCCACCTCCCCCCCCCCTCCACCGGACAGACAGGGACGCGGGTCACCGTCCTGCCGGCCTCTGCAGTCGTCCGTCGGAGCCGGCACTATCGGCCCATCTCGGCCGCGGAACGCCACAGGAAACCACGGGCGGTGCAGGATACGCCACGGGAGGCCGGCGCACGGCACGTCGCGTGGTCTAAGGAATGTGGCACTGCGTGACGTCAAGGCGGCAAGGGGTGACGTCAAAGATTCGGTGATTCGTCACGGAACTGAGCATCGGCCCATGCGTGACATAGCGCAACCATTAGGCACTTTACTGATGTCATGTAATGTCACAAATGCATAGATGCAATGTGACACTAAGAACCGTTCGAATGCAATCCACACCTGTGCTCTGACGTCATCAGCCTCGGCTGACGTCACCAATCAAGGCTCGGGCAGCGGCTCGGTGGGATGGATGACCCCGGTCGCCATCCCGACACAGTGGACAGCGCAGGACCGAATGGCGAGCTTGCCGTGACTCTTCCCGGAGCCCTTTCATTGGTTGTGTCGGGACATCGTGTAGGATGTGAGGTGCTGTGTAGTGTGTCGTGTCGGCTGCTGTGTCACCTGGCGTCGGCTGTCGGGGCGCCGCTATAGCACCGTGGGACCGGACCGGCACCGATCACCTCCATACAGGTCTGATCGGCACACTGATTGGAGCCGGTCGGCCGGCCAATCACAACCGCCCGACAGTGCCTAAGCCGATCAGAGGCGTGCAATCGAGCCGCCGACAGACCTAGGCGAGCCGGTGACAACAGCGTGGGGAAGGGGCGGCGGAAAACCGTAATCGTCAGAACGGATCAACCCGTGAAGTTTCCCACGGCTGAGCGGCAGTTGCCAGTTGCGAGGTGACGTGAAATCGGCACGATTAAATCGACAACTGGTAAAGGTCATTTGTTCGCAACGATTCTGCCATGATGTGACAAGATAACGGAGTAAACATGCGGCAATCGCGTAGGATTATGTAGGAAAACGGACACTGGACGGGTGTTACGGAAAGCGCAAAATAAAGGGATAAGGCAAAACCATTTAAATATATAGGAAATATGTAAGCTGAAAAACGATGGGAAATCAGCAAAGCGGTCGGAACAATATAAAAATGCCGATTAAGCTCAGTGTATTGGGAGCCCGCAGCAATGCACTCAGCGAGAAATGGGTGTCAACGATATTCAGTGAGACAGACAGGCAGAGACACGCAGGCGGTCGCGGAGGCCCATGGCGTCCCCGGCGCGGCCCTGGGACGGCCCGGCGCGCCGCGGGACGGAGCCCGAGGAATGTCGTCCCTGCCGGCGGCCGGCGCGCCGGATAGGACAGAAAAACAGGCCAGTGCCGCTCCGGCCGGGGAAAACATCCGCCGGCCGGGCCGAGTGCGCCCGCCGTCTGTGCTGCTGCTGTCCCTCGGCGTCCGTTCGGTGACGGGAGGTGGGCAGAGGCGGGCGGAGGCGCTGAAGACGCCCATCTGCCGTCTGCTCTCACACACCTGTGCCCGACCCATGCCATGGCAGTGTGAAGACACTCGATGGCATGCCGGCCGGCGTATGGTGCGCTGGGTGCACTGGATGTGGGTGGGTTAGGATTACGAAATCTGCGATCGCAGAGCGGTGATGCAGCAGTGGAATATGAATAGAAGACTTTCTCGGAGAAACCGCCCGTCAATCCCCGCGCTGGACGCTCCCAGGCGAAGGTGGATTTTTCCGTCGATGGGCGATATATGGCCGTGCCGTCTGAGGCGAATAGAAGCCTGTTTCCCCAGAAGTGTGAGCACGGCATGGTTACTAAGTTGCGTCATCGCCAGTAGGACCGGATGATGAGGTGCACCAATGGAATGTGCGGACGGGGACGGCCGCTACACGTCATCTGACATTCCCAGACTGCTGTCATCGAGCGTTTTACTAAGACACGTCAACCACAAGGGCGTCCAAGGATATCAGAAACTTGAAAAAATAATATTCAAATGTAAGGAAAGACGTGCTCCTTCCTTATGACTGGAGACAAGTGTCATTCCTGGCACTGCGAAGGTGACGTTTATGACGGCAATGACAAGAGGCACTGAGCCCATTGAAGTATAACTAAGGTGGTAGGCGACATGTCGCCTAAGCATCCCCAAAGTTGCAGCTTTGGGGAATCTCTGGTTTGGTCTAAGCTTAGGAATATTTGAATAAGAATGTATAAAAACAGCACTCACATTAGTAAACTGTTCTTTCCGAGGAAATAATACGAAGTTACTTTTATGATTAAAAGATAAATGGTCAATGGAAAATATACGGAGCGTGAAAACTGCGCACGGGGTAGAGCAGGTAGCCATACGAACCATGTATGGATAAGCGGCTCCATGTGGTTACAATGCGATTTCAGATCGCCCACATTAGAACCATCATCAGAATAATGATACTCCTAATCATCCCTCGATAATCCTGCAATTATATTCCAAGTCATGGCAAGGTATCTCGGCACACAATACGCCTTTGCTCCGCGCACCCCGACTCGGAGACCCCGGCGCTCCCCGGCGCTCACCGAAGCTGGTCTGTCGCGAGTGGTTGGACGACGTGTAGCCGCTGTCACAGTAGTAGCTGCGCCGGCCGGCTCGGCGCTCCAGCAGCTGCAGCAAGAGCTGCCCGCTCGTCTCGTCTCCGCTCACGGCCATCACTCTCCTCCACGGGAACACTCGACTCGGTTTGGGGAGCGGCGCTCAGCACGTGCGGCGGGCTCCAGCGCGGTCGGTCGACTGACGCTGCCGCCGCCGCTGCCGCCACCGCCGCCGCCGCCGCGGCCAGCCGCGCGGCCAGCCGCATTCCTGAGGCTCGCATACCTGGGCCGGCGGGCCGGGCCGGGCCGGGCCGGGACGGGACGGGTCCGGGCAGGTAGGGGCCGGCCCGGCGGCGGCGCGGTGGCGGCGGTGAGACACAATGCCCGGTGTGCGGTGTTTGTGCGCGCCGGCGCGGTCGGGGTCCGGTCGGGGGCGGTCCGGACCGTGTGAAGGGAGGGCCGGCCGCCGCCGCTCCCGCAGAATGGGGAGGACAGCCGGCCGCTACCTGCCGCAGAGGGGCGGCCCCGGCTGCCGGCCGGCCGGCGCGTGTGAGCCGCGGCATTGTGCCGCCGATTAAACCGGGAAGGCGGCCCTTTCAGGCAGTCGGACCGCGCATTGTCCACCGGAAATGATAAGGACCCTGGGCGAGACATTCAGGCCTAAGCCGCCGGATTTGGGTGTCCCTAACCCTTTCTCTTCGCACCTGGTCCCTGGGAATGGGTAGGCGACTTTTGAGCGGCGACAAACAGGGTGAGATCAATTGAGGAGCCTATTGAAGTTGACTTTGGAGGCAGGGTAAGAGGTTTTCCGGTCCGGGGGCGCAGCAGTCATGGGACCGCACCTGGACTAAAATGATTAGATATGCACGCCGACTATCCAACTTCCAAATTCCAGGCAAACATTTCATATCTAATTTAGATATAATAATGTGGAGAACGAAGACAATAAGGTAGGTACGGTAATGTGGAGAACGACGACAATGGCGCCCCATCTCGGTAGAAAATGTCTAAGTAACGTCCACCATTTCCATCTGGCAGACTGAGGTATTCACCGGACATCGCATATCCCTTTGACAAACCGCTCCGCCACTTGGAACGCCGTCAGGTGGTAGGCTGAACGACAGCGATGGCAGTTTTTCTCGAGACCTGAATCAGAAGGGTTTTCGCTGTTTAGTGTTCTGTGTTGGAAACAAAAAGAGTAACTGATTCAAGACGAGCGTGGGAGAGTGATGCGATGCCCCCATGACCAGTGAACAAATAGGAAATAATAGAGAGGAAGTGGGTTATGTCATAATCGTTAGTGCTAATCCAAATGATGTCATTATGTGTCGGAGTCATAAGGTCTCAATAATGTCTGAGAATAAACAAAACGCGGCCTCAAAACGCAACGCATGTGAAAGACATCAACTATCGCGTGAGGAGACTGCAGTAGAAAACAGAAAGGAATCACCAGTAGGCAAAGCCCCACAGAGCGAGACTCCATTGCTGAGTAAGGCTCTAGCACCAAAGCCTCTCGGTGCACTTGAACTCGGCTCAATGGGCACGTGACACTGATATCGCTGTTAGAACCTGATCCAATTATGCGAGTCGATGTTAAATGCTATGCATGCCGGCAAGCGCGGCACAATGCATGAAACGCACGGCCATTTCTGCGCAGTCTCTGCGAGGCTGACGAGGCGAGCCGTTTGCAGGCCAGCTCAACAACAGGGCGGTTGTAGAATACAGATCAATGTGTCAAATAGAGGATCGAGTGGTGACTAGTAAACGCAAAATATACTCGGGGCCGTGAGACGAGTGTTCTGAAAAACGCACAGCCAGCTACTGCTTACCGTGCCGACTGTTGACTTGACAGTGAACGGCGGAACAAATGTGTCAGAATCAGTCAGAGTCCACAGCTGTGGTGACGACAGTTGTGGTGATCACAGTTGTGATGACAGTTGTGGCAGATAAGTGCTGTGGCAGACGTCGGCGGCTCAGATCGAGGCGTCAGGGTGGTTTGTCATAACGCTTGAGTAGTTGATACCTACATCTTGACCTATCACCATGGACACCAACAAGCGCAACTGACGGAGTGATGATATAAAATGCTCAA